GCTATAAACTGTTTAAGCTAGCCTTTTTAATAACTATAGTCTTTGGCTAACACAAATCTATATTCATACACTAGCCAGGGATTCGAACCCAGATCCTCGTTGCACACTAAGGCAGAATACAGTGAGTAAAATATTAATTGCTGTTATTTGGGTAAAAACGACCGCATACCTAGAACTTTTTTGTATTTTTAAGACTATCGACTATTGTCAGTCAACCGTTCGAGAAAAAACTAACTTTTCATTGCAAATCCTTTGAGGAAGGATAAGCACGGCACATGTAGACAAGTAAAGAGGTAAAAATCCTTTCCCCTTTTTAACCTGGAAAAATACAACTGAAAGAGAATTTAATGTATACATAAATATATTTTGAAATATTCTGCAAATTTTGTGTCGAATAAGCAGATTATTTTCTTTGAATTCGAAAAATATATTTTTGTTCATTTAACCTCTAACCTGTATTTATCATCCAAAAGGAGGCTCGTAACAAATAAATTTTCACAAAAATCTTAAAAAATCTTTGAAGCCGAGAGGATAGTAAACCAAATTTACCACAGTTCATAAAGTTCGTCTTAGCGTGCACCTCCATCACATACGATAACTACAGCTTCCTAGCTCTTATAGTTTGAATTGTGCGTCGATCACCAATCCAGTCAGTTAGTCAGTCAGTCAGGGCAAACAGTATATAGAGATATATTTAACGCATTTTTATGACTGGGTGCAAGGATAATAGAAAAAAGCAAAAACGAGAGGCGGAACTGTTACATATCGGAAACACGAATAGTAAGAACGACACTCGCAACAAAAGGCGCGCCCCTCCTTTAAAGGTTTTGGATTTTGCTTCAACTTTGTACTGGTATTAGGCTTGGCTCGGCTTGAAGGCTTCAGAGCTTGTGGACAGAGCTTCCCTCCAGGGTGCAGACAGATACAAATGCGGTTTAGTAATTCTAATGTTTTCACTTTGAAATTTGTGACGGTGTCAACGACAACTTGAAATGCACATGGCTTGTATTTCATGTTCAATGTCCTGGGCCTTTAGTTATTTGTGTATGTATATGCACTTATGTATATATGTATGAAAATGTGTATGATTTTGTATTTATTTAAAATCCACTTTGACTCATAGTTAGAAAACGCCCACTCACAGCGTGACAAACATGCAGCAACATGTGTAAATAAAATAAACTTAATTTAAACTGTTTGCATAATTAATTAATGCCAAAATGGCAGCTGCACACTTAATGCACATGTGTGTGTGTAAATGTTTTAGTGCGGATGTGTTGTTCGCCTGGGGGCGTGGTTTACGCACAATTACAGAGAGCTCACACACAGGCATAAAGTAAGCCGACGGACAGCCAGATAGACAAACAATTGAAACAGTCGTACGGTACGAACGACTTTTCAAAGGATTTAGTCCTTGCCATGCAAGGGTGTGTGTGTGTACGTGTGTGTGTGCGCGCAGCCTAACCAGCATGTTGCTATCAAATTTAGCATGCATAGTACATGCATATGTAAATATAAAGCAGGCCAATAGACAGACATACGAGCAGATGAGAGCTCACAGAGCTGCATATTCTTTTTTGCTGCATACTTCGAGGCGCTGGCTTTCTTACATACAAACATCTTATATAGTACTTACAAATATGTGTACTTATATAATGTTAAATTTATTCAGCTTTAATTTAAAGTTTCAACTGTGTTGGTATACTTGAAATCATTGTTTATGCAAATTTGGAATAACTATGTAAGCATACTGCAAGCAACAAGCTCAAAAGCTGCTTATGTAATGCCGTAACGTTTGGCTTATGTTTTGAGTCATATATATATATATATATATATATAATATTAGCGGGTATACCCCGGCCTTGCACATGGCAATTCTGTCAAATATTTTGGAAAATGACTTTGAAACCTATCGGACGGTAAACAAAAAACTTTCATACAACCGTTTTCCGCCAATTTACCACTGTTGCGGGAGAAATTTCTCAAATCGCTCACTGTAGAGGTTTGAGGCAAATCGGACAAAAGTTAAAACTTCACAAAAAAATCTTTAGTTGCACTTTCCACCTTGGAAGCTTTCAGTTTGCGAAAAATGTGAAATGATTTTTCATATAGATCCTTGGAAATGAATCTGCGCGACATTTCACCCACCAAATTTTTGACCCCCATTTCCACGAGGAGGAATGCATTTTTCGTAAAGTGTGAAACACACCGTAAATGAATTTTAACAAAGATCTTTGAAAATGAGTCTGAGGCTGATCGGATGTTAAATAAATCACATTAGGTAACTACAGTAAATATTTCAGCTATCTAGCTCTTACAGCATGGGCGTTGATCACCAATCAGTCAATCAGGACAGTTTAATATATAGACATTTTTCCTTTTACTTTAGTGTATGTGTATATGCAATATTAAGATTTCTTTGCTAATGTTGTTTTAATTGTTTGGCCAATTGCTGCCAAGCCGCAAATTGGGAAAATTGGGTGGGAAAAACTAAAGCCCCGACTAAGCTGCAATTTATGAGAAGAGCTTTAACAGTTTTTCTGATTTTTGGCTTGTGGCAAGGATATAAAAATGGCAAATGCCAGCCGAGAAATGAATAGAATGCGTTTTTCTTTGCCCTATTTTTTTCTAATACTACTCCAGCTACGTCTGTCGCCTGGTTACCACAGCAAATTGAAAGAACTCGAAACTGAATTTATATGCCAAACGCAATTGAATCAAGCAGGCTCAGCAAGAAACAAATTCCAAACATGCAACTGACAGGCACTTTAAGTCTTCAGAAAATTGTTTTAGCTAGTTTATGCTTGGTATTAAAATTAACAAGTAAGAGGTTCTAGTCGGGGGCTCCTTACTAGAATATACCCTGAACCCCCTGGTGTAGGAATACCAATTGCAGCTCGCGCTACGCGCTTGTTTGCTTTAGTAGTAATAAAGATTAATTAAAAAAAAGTTTCCAAGGCAGGGTTCGAACTCGCAACTAACCGCACTACTTGCCACCGTCTCTAGTCAACAGCCAAACCAATCATTGATTCTTAGTGAGAAAAAAACGAATTAAAATAGCAGGACAGAAAACAATACAATCACAATTGCAATGCTGTTGATAGAATTTAAAGAAGACGCGCATGAATGTGTGTGTGTATACAGAAATTCTTGCAATTTGCGCTTGCTGCCCCAAACACGGGGCCAGCAAAAACATGTTTTATTTAATAACTTCTGTGTTTCTTAACCGATCTTGATGAAATTTCTACAACTTATAGTACTATAGAATATTCGTGTATTTTAAAAAAATCAATTGCATTTAAATTGTGGCCTATATTGGTGGGAAGCATAAATTTGTTTATTTACTTGACTTATATATACTATTGAAATATATACTATTCTAGAAGCTACATGTCAAGTTCGGTGACTCTAGCTCTCATTATTTACCAAAATTATCTAGCACTTATAGGTTCTGAGATCCTTGCGTTCATACATACGGACGGACGGTCGGACAGACAGACGGACATGGCTAGATCGACTCGGCTATTGATGCTGATCAAGAATATATATACTTTATAGGGTCGGAGATTCTTTCTTCTGCCTGTTACATACAGACTTGAAAATAGCTGTAGGTCCTCCTAGTCCAAGCGCTGATCGAGTTTGTTTCCGATATTCGATAACTTGCCCCGTTTCCAAGTAATCGATAAAAATCGATATCGAAATCCTGTTTTTAAGGAATTTTGGTAAATTATATGAGCTAGACTCACCAAACTTGACATGTAGTTTCTAGAATAGTATATATATATCAAGTATCTTTCAATTTATATCCATCACCACCTCCCTCCTACTACCTCATAGCTATAAATCAAGTAAATAAACCAATTTATGCTGTTTTGGCTTTCCTCGTATCAACGGCAGCAAGCGCAAATTCCAAGAATTTCTGTATACATGTATACACCCACATACATGCGCGTCTGCTTTGAATTCTATTAACAGCATTGCAATTGCGATTGTATTGTTTTTAATTCGTTTTTTTCTCGTAAAGACTCGATTATTGGTGTGGCTCTTGAGTAGAGGCGGCGACAAGCAGCGCGGTCTGTTGCGAGTACGAAACCTGCCAAGGCAACATTTTTTTTTGTTTTTAATTTATCCTTATTACTACTAAAGCAAGCAAGAACGTAGCGCGAGCTGCATTTGAGCTTGGTCGGGAGCTCCCGACTAGAACCTCTTACTTGTTAAACTAATGAAAAGCTGAGATTTTATTATATTCAAACTAAAAGCACAATCAACATTTTATAAATTATAATCTGTAGTCATAATTTTTATCAAAGTTAATAAATAAGATTTAAATTATCCTTTTTTAAATTCAGCGTATATAAGCGGTGACAGAGCCTCGATTTTGCGAACGTAGCTTTCCTGTTGCATGAGACTCTTCAATTAGCCCTGACATTTTCCAACCATCTTGCCCGAATATTTTGTGCTTGTTTTGACATTCCGTTAGCAAAATATGCGTTTTCAAAAATAAACTCAGCAATGCACAGCATTTGGTGCTGTTGTCAGGGTACAATTATCAGATGCAGCAACGAACAGCAGACGGAGTTATTGAGGTTGGTGTATCCGGGGTAGGTGGGGTTTAGTGCAATGAGAGTTTATTGAACCCAAGAGACGGCTGCTGTATCCGTTGATGCTGCCTGGTAGTAATAAAGTTCGAGCGAATTGCCAGTAGGTGCAACGCATACAAGCGCAAGCCCACAAAAACTCACAGTCAGGCACATCATGTGGCCGCGATGAATGCTTTCTAGCCGCATTTCAATTTTTTAAACTGCGCGCAAAATATTTTGCGCTCAATGGCAAAGTTTTCGAAAAACGATGCCAGGAGAAATGTTTTACGAGAGCGCACAGATTCAGACACCACTTCGAATATTTTTATCTTTTTTTCACGCAAACAGTGTAAGTGGCATAGTGGGGGCTGGGATTCAGTGGCGCATGGCTGCATAAATGCTTCGACGCAGTTGTCCATTTTAAATCAGTTGGGACTACTCTAAAATTGGCCCTGTTTTGTTAGCACTGAAGTTATATCTATGATTTGCGACACTCACATGACAACTGTGGATGGGAATGGATATACTTTATGGAGAAGGTGGCGGCAGTTTAATAGCATTGGTTATTGTATCTTAGTCACACCTCAGTTTAACTTCTACATAATACAAATATAACATTTTATCACTACATATTACATTTTTCGAACACTACATTCAGCTAAAAATAATGTTTTATACTCTGAACCAATTAAAACTGGGTTAACAAGGGAAAATAACTTAGTGCAAATGTAACGAATAACAGGAAAAACGTGGCTTCTCTGACCCTTTTAAGTATATATAAGGATAAGAGCTTTCTGGTTATTATGTGTGTTTTTGTATATGTATATATAGAAGGAAACTAGAATACTTGAAACGGCAGGTCGGCGCTGGGTACATGGTATTTCATAGACGGGCTATCCCGAATGGAGTACTTTTACTTGTTTACGATTAAATTTGTACTAATAACGAAAGTAAGGAATAAAACCACAAATTTAGCTGCATTCGTGAAGATAACACCCTTCAACAAATGTCGATTGGAACCATTTATCTTGGACAGACTCGAATTTCCACTTAGGAACAGTGTTTTTTCCATTATGGAAATAATAACTCCAGAAGTGAAAACAGCATAGAAACTAACACAAGTTCATTTACCGGGAACTCGACCATAATATACCACTTGGAATTTTTCTAAAATAGCTGCACAAATACGATAGAAATATTGGCCTGTGAACCTATACGAGAATGGGCCGCATTAGTAAAGAGCGGGCCTAACTCAAAATCTTGCTCAAATTAATAATCCCTCCATTGTTGAGCAAAATGACGTATCTGATACTCGGCTGAAGTTGAGCGATGTCTAAACGTGGATTGATGAAGTGATGTCGAATACAATGTGGTGCTATCCTCCGGATTTGTTTGTCCATTTGCCTACGTGAGGATGTTCTTATATGCCAGCTTGTGTTGATTTCATCTTTCATTTCGTCCAAACATTTGTCGGCTTCCTCTATTTGTTTGCTGGTCGCTTATCATAAAATAATTTTGGTCCGATAATTTGTGCGTCCGGCCATTCGCCCGAAGCGCGAGGCTTTCACTGCAAATTAAACATTATTGTTACGGCTACTGTAATCACGCACACTTGCACAGATACAAAATCATGCCCACAATTCATATGTATTTACGTAAGTATATACAATGTATGCAAATGCATTTCCGCTCTCTACATATTTAACCCGTACCACATATGGCAAATTGGCTTTCGTGTTGTGAACACTGGTGGCAACTGAAAGGTTCAGAGAGTCATACACAAAAACACTTAGATAAGCGTTTAGTTTTTGGTTGGCGTGTGTAATCGTTTGGAATTTATTTGAGCTCATAAAGGTACTCGAATTATTTTCTTTTGTGACACAGGCACATAGCACCACAACAAAAACAATTGGAAGCCTCGTTGGCAAAAAATCAAGCTGGCAATCATTTAGGGGACAGCTCGATATGCTCTTTCATTATTTAATTTTGACCCACAAAAAGTTCGACGTGGCTGTCCCTGTTGCTGCTGCGTACACCGCGCTGTTGACCTGATGCTACATGATATACGCAGGATATTCTTCTTGTTGGCATTATTGAAGTTTTTGTTTCTGTTTGTTGTTGGTGTTGTTGTTGTTGTTTTACTGCGCGGTACACGTAGTCGGCCAGCTAAATCGCATAATCAGTTGCGTTGTAGTTGGGGGAGGCGGATAGTTTATTTTTAATTAAACTCTGTTCTCAACGCGCCAAAAGCTCATAAAATAGCAGGCAGCAAACGCATATTCAGCTGGAGATGAGGTGATAGAAGGGACCACGGAACAATGGCACAAATGGCCGAAAACTGCAACTGGCCAAATGTGTTAACATGTTTGTGGTCGCCATAAAAAAGGGGTTGCAAAACTGGTCGCCAGTATCCACTAGTAGCCAGCCCTAGCCATATGCGGCACGTTTCTGCAACAGTTCGTTAGTGTGAACGATGCGGGAGCGGAGGCGACGCTCAAAAATTTAATTACTTTCACTTGTGCGAACTGTTTGTCTGCCAGACGTGCCAGCCAGTCGTCCAGACTGACCGGATAAAGCACCAGCTAAGGGCATTTAACTTAAATGTAATAAAATTGTACACGGACTCTGAGCTACGCACGTTTGCTGTCTTACATTTCTCCAACTCCCTCCCTCATGTCTCTCGTTTTGTAGATTTTTTCTTATATCCCTCCGAATGCCCGTTGGCATTTTACTCACAGAGCTTGCGTAGGCAAGAACGATGCCCGCCACCAGCTGAAAGCCTTCTGCCTTCTGAAGGATTTGTGACGCATTAGGTGCCAAGTTTTCTCGCTTGCTGTGGTTAAGAGTGCATTGGCTTTTTACTGTTCTACCGACGCTGTTTCCTTCTTTCCGCTTTGGTTAAGTTGCTAAAGTGCCAACTACAAATTTTCCTTGACTCGAGTTTCGTTTTAATTTTAAGCTTTCATAAGCCCACAACTATATTTTTTTGCTCATTATTCTGGAGCTATTTATCAAAAGTGCGTATTGATCATACGTTGTTGTTTATGCAACGCAAGTTGCTGTCCATGCACTTACATGTAGTTAAATATTTTTATAAAATCCAATCCAATGCTTGTTTCAGGACTGCAAACAATAATTGCCCCTTACAAACCCTGAATATAAAGTCAATGCTAACGGAATGGATTGATATGGGAGTAAAGCACAGAGTGCAAATAAAATCTTTGACTGGTTGTAACAGATACTTCAATTTACATTTGCCACTCTACCTTAATAACCCTTACTCGAAGCTTGCAGGGTATACGCTTTTAAGATTGCACGGCTGCACACTGTATGCATCTAAATAAGTACATTTTGTATCATATATGTTAGTATGCTCGGACATGTTAGAAATATAAATGTTTGGTTTTCAAATAAATTGCAAGAACGCTTAATATGCTAAGCCAAGCGGATAATTTGTTGCTCTAATCAATACACAGAGGTTAAAGTTGACCTCATCTAAATATCTGCACTTGGTTATCCTCCTAAAGTCAACTTGTCTAAGACTTTATGCTTGCTTATTTACTTATGGCTTTACTGCTAGTCTCTGACTTGCTCTATATTTTGGTGCATTTCAATGTTAAACTAATGCATTTGACATTTGCCTTCGAAAACATACATGTATGTACATCGTTGGCTGTTCCAGCTCAATTGCCTTTGACATCAATCATTCGGGTTTGCTGATTGCTAATCGTATTCTATAATATATTTTATACCTACCTCGCGCTTAAAAAACAAAAAATATTAACATTGTGCCAAAGGTGGATCAATTTTCTGTATTGTTATTGTTGTTATTCTATCATATCAACGAATTGTTTCCCAGTTGATTTCAATACGATAATTCAACATTAAGAATATAATTGAACCGAAAAGTAATAAAACTACTTTGTTTTGTTTTGACCCTACGTAGATTTCTATTATAATTGGTATTAAAAACATTTAATATAATATTATCATAACCACTTTGCGATTTATTATTTTTGAAATATATGTAACAGAAATATATGTGCCAGAAAGAGACATCTTCTAACGTATATATATATCTCTATATATACCTGACTGACTGACTGACTGATTTGTGATCAACGCACAGCTCAAACCGTAAGAGCTAGGAGTTCACTGTAGTTACCTTATATGAAGTAGGTGCACGTTAAGACGGGGTTTCGGGACATTTCTCCCGCAACTGTGGAAAAATCGCGAAAAACGTTTGTATGTAACTTTTTTGTTTACCATCCATTCCTCCTTGGTGGAAATGAGGGTCAAAGGCTTGGTGGGTGACATTTCGCGCTCATATTCATTTCCAGAGATCTATAAGAAAAATCATTTGAGAAGTGTTCAACACTTTTCGCAGAATTCAAACTTGTTCGGGGGGAACGCGATTTAAAGATTTTTTGGGCGAAGTTTTAAGTTGTGTCCGATTTGCTTCAAACTTATTTTCAAAGCTCTGCATAAGAACTTAATGAATACGTATTTAAGCGATTTGGGAAATTCCATACGGAAAACGGTTGTATGAAAGTTTTTTGTTTAAAATCCGATCAGCCCCAAACTCATTTTCAAAGATCTATGTTCAAATTAATTTTAGGGGTGTTTCAAACTTTTTGAAAAAACCAACCCTCCTTAGCGCAAATGGGGGTCGAAGATTTGGTGGATGACGTTTTGTGTTCAAATTTATTTCCAAAGATCCATAAGAAAAATCATTTGAGACATGTTTCACATTTTTCGCAAAATCTAAACTCCTTCGGTGGAAAATGCATTTCAAAGAATTTTTTTGGTGAATTTTAAGTTTTGTCCGATTTGCATAAAAGTTGTTTGATTCCCGTCCGATCAGTTTCAAAATCATTTTCAAAGTTTTTTGAAAACATTGATTTTATAACATACGTGCCACGGGCTAGTATGTATTATATATATATACTGTATTTATATTTTCTTGATTAGCAGCTGTGTCCGAGTCGCTCTAGCTATGTACGTCTCTTTGTCCCCCTGTCTGTCTATTTGGAATAAAATTCCTTCAATTTGAGTACTTCTGTTGGAGATGAAGGTGCACGCTTAAACGGGTTTCTGGGAAATTACACCCGCAAGTTTGGAAAAATCGCAAAGCTCGTGTGTAGCAACATTTTCAAAGACATTTGTTGAGATTCATTTAAGGGGGTTTTCACGTTTTACGGAAAATCCATTTCTTCTTGCTATAATTTGGGGTCACAGATTATGTTGGTGTAGTTTGAGAGGTGCTTCACATTTTTCGCAGAATTTAAGCAACGATTTACTGACAGCAGAAACCAACTTTCACCCCATGAGCATATTTCTTAGTTTTTTTTAATCTAGAATCACACAATTTGAAAATGTATTATGTATTATGAAAATGTATGTCAGAAAATTGACCGGGAATTACCGGCACATACCAACTGTTATTTATATCAGCCTAGGTTCTTTGAACATACTATTCCGTTGATTATAAAAGCTTAAAATTGTATATACAAAATTTTATATTTCAAATACCTTCTCCCTTTTCCGTAAAGAAGCACTTAAAGAATGTAGAGCCTTGCGCTTTAGTATATACACAAAGGAAGGGCGGACTAGGTAGAGGGTATCTCCCAGTCAGCCACTTCCGCCTTGATCACTCTTCCATATTAATATTTTATATTTAATATATGTGGCGTTAAGCTTAAAACTACATATTTGCAGCCCATAGTATAAATAGTATTTACCTACTTCTACGACCGTGTCTAAAACAACTCAAGTTCTACACCAATGTGAGATCCGTATCCAAATTCGCGCGGCACCATAACATATCGAACTGTAAAGTCAGGCAATCTTTAAAGAGTGTGCCTCAATACTTATAGGCCGTGCCTATTTGCTGTTAAAACATGTGTATTTTATGCGCGCTTCTCCGCCAGTGTTGACCTAATTGTTTGGAAGGCGGCCAGTGGCTTAAAGTTTATTGGATTTGTAGCAGCATTCTCAATAATCAGACTTCGACTGCATTTGACAGAAAACTGGCCAAATTAGAGCATGTTGAGAGATGTCCAAACATCAAATACCGTTTACGTAACATGTGTAAAGGTTAGATTGCATCAATGCTTATTCCAATAACTGGATAGTGAATTCGGGCGAGTGCACATTGTTCTCAAGGTTCAGTTCTCCGACTTTAATTTTTGGTAGATTTCATCAATATACCTGCTCATGTTGCTTTTTATAATGCTCCATATAAATCAATAAATTCAATTATTTTTTTGGTATGGTTTTTATATATTTACAATATTTCGTATAATTAGATAATAAATTATAAATGTAAATTATTTAATAAAGTTGCTTCCCAACAAATATATTTTGCATATGCTCATTTATTTTCCTTAGAGACTTAAGACTTAAGAGGCAACAACATTCTCGCGATCCTTATCAAAATTGTTTGACAATTTGACTGAATACAAGGAAAAACTAGATAGAAGAGCTTTAATACTCTTGCAGACCAAACCGTTTCATAAATTATAACGTTTTGCTCGTTTTTAAGAAGCACGGGGAAAATAGAAAATGCCGAGTATGGTTAAGGCTAAGACAATATAATGTTTATATATGTATATTCTTTGGTTAAGGTATCTTGAAAAACAAAAAGTTTTCATACAAGAACCTCATTTTTGACCGTTCGTTCCTATGGAAACTAAATGATATGGTGATCCGATGTTGATAGGAGTTTGCATATATATAAAGAGCATAGTGTATCTAATAAATGTCAATTTTGGTCAAGATATTTTGAAAAACAAAAAAGTTTTCTATACAATAACTTAATTTTCGACTGATCGTTCCTATGGGAGCTATATAATATAGTGGTCCGATCCAGCCGTTTCGACATATGTACTGCGTGCAACAGAAAGATGAACAAATGCAAAGGTTCATGACGAAAGCTTTACAACTGAGAGAAGTAGTTAGTATAGAAACAGACAGACGGACAGACGGTCATGGCTATATCAACTTGGCTGTTGATACTGATCAAGAATATATATACTTTATGGGGTCGGAGATGTGTTACACATTTCGAAACAAAATTATAATCCCCTTAAGGGTATAATAATGAGAAGAGAAAGGAGAATTTAAATGTTTTGATTTTTATATATTTTATACAGCAATTTTTTAAAGCTAAAACAAGTAAGAGGTTCTAAATCAACACCAAATGCAGCTCGCGCTACGCGCTTGTTTGCAGTAAGAAAGATAAATTGAAAACAAACAAAAAAAATGTTTCCTTGGCAGGGCTTGAACTCGCGACCGACCGAATTACTTGATGCCGCCTCTACTTAAGAGCCACACCAATAATCGCGTCGTTATGAGAAAAAACACGAATTAAAATAGCAGCACAAAAAACAAAACAATCGCAACTACAATGCTGTTGATAGAATTCAAAGCAGAAGCACATGAATGTGTGTGTGTACATGTATACAGAAATTCTTACAATTTACACTTGCTGCCGCTGGTACGAGGAAAGCCAAATCACGGTTTCTTTAATTATAAAATTAAAGATACTTGATATATGCATACTATTATAGAAGCTAGAAGCTACATGTCAAGTTTGGTGACTCTAGCTTTTATTGTTTACCAAAATTGCTCAAAACACAGGATTTCGATATCGATTTTTATCGATTACTTGGAAACGGGGCAAGTTATAGAACATCGGAAAGAAAACTCGATCAGCGCGGGCACTAGGAGGTCCTACAGCTAAAATCAAGTCTCTAGCTCTTATAGGTTCTGAGATCCTTGCGTTCATACATACGGACAGATGGACGGACGGACAGACAGACTGAAATGGCTAGATCGACTCGGCTATTGAAGCTGATTAAGAATATGTATACTTTATGGGGTAGGAGATGCTTCCTTCTGCCTGTTACATACATTTGCACCTTTTTACCCATTTTTAATGGGTACAGGGTATAATAATGATACGGAAAAGCAAATTTAAATGTTTTCCACAACAATGTTTTATGCATTGTACATAAACTTAATGTGTAAGTTACATTTGTATCGGAGTAAATAATTTGTATTAATAAATAAGGTGTTTAGAGTACGATTATTTTTGTGGAAAATTATTTGAAAAGCTTCGACATTACAGAAAGTACTTATCATGTGTACGGAACGTATAATCTGTAGTCATAAA